TCATCCCGCGTCGTCATTGCCGCGCAGTCACCCAAAATTTTTATCGGAACCAGACACCCCTCTGTTGAATGGTTAGACCCAGCAGTGCCCTCGCCCCAATTCTTAACAACAGGGAAATCAATTAGGAATACCATTTTCAGGACCGCGGGGGTATCCGAAGCACTTCAACATCTTTTATTTCGACGCCCATAAGCACATATGCAATTAAAAGAAAACGCTCTGCATCATCTGCAGCCCAATAGCAATACGTATACCGAACCCCAGACAAATCCGTCCAGCCGATCGCGAGAAAAAGCTGCTGACAAAAATAGTTCGCACGATAGTAAAACCTTCCCGCGGAAGGATATCTCCTTCCCCGGAGGTAATAATGTACTAGTACATGTAAAACATTTAAGAAACATTGGCATTTGATTAAAAAATAGCCTTATTGTGATGTATGGTGATGTAGTCTGCGCCGACACTTGGAACAAAGAGCTGTTGCCTGGAGCAATGATAAATAAGTGTTTAAACCTGGTCACTCGACTGGTTTTTCCACTTAAGGATGGCACCCAGGCTACAAGATTCATTCCTTTGGGTAAATTGTTGCAAATTACTGTATCTAAATTTCCTCACTTTACTTATGAGCATGTCAGTTATCAGTTGTCTGTTCAGTTGATTTGGTGGTGGCATAAAAATAAAGTTAAAAAATATATTGAGTGTGCCGTCGCCATTTCTTGTTCATAAATGTTGAAATAGAAAAAAATATTGTAGCACACAATCATCTCAAACTAAGATCTTGCAGTATTTCATCTTTTTATGAACCAATACGTCCGTGTGTTTTGACTCAATTCTGGTGCGCATTTACCTAGTCCAAACGGACCCTCTCATATTAAAAAAAACACAACCTATAGTCGAGAGTGAATAATTTCTTTACTACATGTATTTAGTAGATAACTTATTTTATCTCACAAAAATGAAAAACTACTCACCAAAGACGATAAGAAGCGCAAAGAGAGTCAGACGTCCCTCCATCTTCAGTAGCCTCCGAGGAAATGACCAGTTCTAAAGGCACGGCACATCAGACATCTCCTCGAGTTGTCGAGTTGTCAATAACAATTATATTAGCAGTTCAACTTCAACCAATGGTAACTTGACAATTTGCGGTTCGACCAATGAGAGAGTGGCTTCATGCCGATCAAATATTTGCATGTTCATGATTTTGCCGAGGAAGGAGGGGCTAGAGGAAAAGCCCGTTGTTGTCTTGCCATCAAAGAAGTCTGACCGGTTTCTTTGTCAACAGTACTTGAAGTAGGGTGTCTGATACTTAGTTTTTGTTTGGAGAAGAGGAGATAAAATACAAGACAAAAAAGGGCAAATTCAGCACATTTTCCACCTGTGTGTGTATGTATGTATGTTTGTCTTGGTGACTGTGAGGTTGACCCACCTGACAGAAGGTGTGTATGTATGTATGTTTGTCTGTGTGACTGTGAGGTTGAGTCACCTGAGGTTGAGTCACCCGACAGAAGGTGTTTTTATATGTTTTTTTGTCCGTGTGACTGTAAGGTTTACTCACCTTACACGAGGTGTGCGTTTGCGCACGGGGCAGACTTTTTCGTCACTGTGAAGTTATCCAGGAAAATTCCGCATAAAAAAAGTACCAGAAACTCCTGTCCGCGCATGCACTAAAGGGCAGAACCCCCCCCCCCCGGGACCTTTTCTTGAGCGGAAATTGGTATACCAGATGGTCGATAAATTAATAAAACAATCTCTACCCTATTTTCATCGATCACTGTTGTAAATTATCATATCTTGTATTTTCCCAGTGTCGCCTTGCCCCTTTACTGCAAGTACCATCATTGACGAACTTTGAGCGTCAACTGTAATATTAAGGTCGCAGCACACAGTATTTATGGACGAACCCCGTACTCAAAAGTAGTACGGGCACAAAGTAGGTCAGCATATACTTAAGACAGGCGCAGAGATTCTTGTGTGTACGACACGTTGCGAATCTGTTTAGCAATTTATGCTTCTGTCCATTGTGCAATAATCAGAATCAGAGATCGGAACTTGTTGGCAATCTTGCAGATTTACTCGGTCATCTTGTTAACCTTAATAAGTCAGATAATGCTAAACTGCACCTTATTCTTAGAGGCTCATCATTGTTACCCTCTATGTACAACTTTAAAATGATGCAACTCACTCAGATTGACATTGGAGATACCAAGCGCTTCTAGCTCTGCTTGACTGTCATTTGCAGTCAGATAGATATAGAAGTCCACATACTACATGGCATTGTGTTAATGGGCCTAAATTCTCCTTCTAGCTCTGATTGGTGGTATTTGTCCACCAATCAGATGTAGGAGGTCAACATGCAATCCTTAATAACTCCGGCTCATTTTTTTTTTTTCAAATAACTTTGTTAGCATTGACATTTTTTACGTCTTGGGTTGCTGGGTCTACGGCGCACCGGTATGTCAACTTTGTGTATTTACATGTATATGTTAATTGTTTTTTTTTTGTGTGGCGCTGTTAATATAAGTTGTGCAGCGTCACACTGTCCTTGTCATACTTTGATGTTTTGATGAATAAAAACAAAAAAGCACAAAATCTAATGCATGGAATTTGAGATTTAAAATTTGGATTCGACTAGAGCTTGTTTGTTACAGGGTTAGGTCGGAAAGCCTCGGTATACGTACATACATACATACCGGATGTCGGACGTATACGCTTGTTTTTGGCTTGAGTTAACTGTGGTCAGCCTGACACCAAAAGGAGAGCCACAGTGTACGTGGCCCAGGTACGAAGCGTTATGGATTATGTTGGATGGGGGCTTCTGTCACTTCGCTAAAAATCCTTGATTCCATCCAGAAAAAAGCATTACGCATCATTGGTGTAAATGAACATGATGCCAGAACTGAACTGAACATCCCATCACTACTCCACAGACGTCAGGTGGCCGCTGTTTCTCTGATCTACAAAATGCACATGTCCACATGCCCACCAGACCTGAAAAAGATGCTTCCTCAACCATACACAATCAGACGCACAAGCCGCAGCAGTCTCTCCACTGGAAAACATGTCCTTACTGTGCCGGTCTCTCGAACTCACGCCACCGGCAGAACTTTCATACACGCTGCAGTACACACCTGGAACAGTTTCCCAGCCAACGTGGTCCGTCTGATCACTGACAACAACCTCCAGTCATTCAAAACAAGAGTACATCGGCATCTTCTTTCCACCATCAGGACTTCTGCATGTAGCTAGAACCTTGCAACTTTGCTGTAAACCAATGATTAGCCAGGAGTGTTCCAATCCAGGCTATTGTTTACATCAGCACATGATAGATAGAAAGAAGCCGTTTACGTTGTCGCCGCGAGAGTACTCTCCAAGCAGAGGTTGGGTTTTGGGGTATTTCAGCGTTTTTTTAGGCTTTTTTTAATCGGGGTTTCTATTTTGCACTGATTTTTTCCCACCAAACCCTCGTGTAAAACGATCGTAATGTGTCAAAGTGATTAGCTTTATGGCGCATTGGCAGAGGTTGGGTTTGGTGGGAAAAACATTCAGTGCAAAGGAAAAACCCTAAAAACACCAAAAAATAGGGCCTCTTGTGGATAGTGGCCAACTGTTGTTTTAAATGCCGTATAATTACATTCAGGGGCATTCTTATTGACCAAAGATGAAGTGTGATATAGCAAAAGAAAAATTTTAACTGAAGCCATAAAATGTGCTTATTTTAACGTTATACCAAATGGCAGAGTGAATCTGGTACATGAGACCTTATACTAGGCACGCAACACAAAAAAACGTTGTTTTAAAGTTGCCGAAATTGCCTCCAACAAACAGATCAGACTCTTCCAATCACATTGTTTTTGTATCGAAATCAAACAAATTTCATTTTGCAGGTAACCAAAAGGTATAGGAAAAAGTTATCATCCAAGATAACAAAATAAAGAATATAGTATACCTCAAATAAGTAGTTAAGCTATTCATCTACTTGTTATTTTTCATTTTGTTGTTGTTATTCTCAGATTTTGTCCTGATGATGACATGCATTCATGTTTTGATGTCTAATAACCACAAGGATTTTCTAATAACCGGTGTTGCTGAAAACCTTTATGGCGAATCATTTCAGATGATTTCAATGAATGAGCCAACAGCGTGAGGCACGCCTACAGCACGAGGCACAAAGCTTAGACCACATCAGTTATTAAAAACTTTCATGTAAAATCAGCTACTGAATAGTCCTACGTCAGAGGGTGCTTCATACACAAAAGCTGTTTTCAACAACATTTTTCTCGCTAAGATATCACGTTCTATCGCTTGCCTCAATAAATTGTCTGTCTTTAGCCAGTGCATGTCATTGAGTACACTATTGTCTTCTGGGTTCTGCCTACCAGAAAGAAAAACACTTTTCCTTGCTAAATTAAGTGTTTTCGTGCTACCAACATGGAAGAAGAAACGGACGGTTCGTCAGTAGAAGATTGCATGAGCCATGTTCTGTCCATCGGCTCAACATCTCGCGATCTGCAGACGGCATATCTCATCATCAGCCTGGTGCTGTCGGTAGGATGCTGCCTGCTGCTCATGTTCTTGGTTTGGAAGAAAGAGTATCTCCAGAAGCCCAGCCACTACCTGCGGTGTAACCTGGCGGTAGACGACATCGTCTTCACCGGCTGCCTGATTCCCGTCCAAATCAACGCACTTTTCCGGCAAGATGCTAGCGGGGAGCAACTGTGGTGCTCGGCTGAAGTTTTGGTTGGGCCCGCATGTTTGCTATCTATGTTTGGTACATACGTCATGATGGCAGTTGATCTGTACTACTTCGTGTGCCATCCCCTACACTACCATGACAAAGTCACCACCAAACGTGTGCTCCTGGGTATCCTGGCGTTCAGGACCCTCTCTCTCGTCGGCGGACTAGGGCCTGTGGTTTTCGGCGGACTGCCCAA